TTTTTTTTTTTTTTTTTTTTTTTTTTCCTAACTTTATAAATATGTTAAAAGTTAAATTAAATATAAAATTATTAAAGTTAAATTCAAAAAAAAAAAAAAAAAAAAAAAAAAAAAACTCCCAAATATATGAATAAAAATATATAATTAATTAGCTGAAAATAATCATATATAAAATATATTAATGTAATTTTAATTGTAACTTTTTACTTTTGTTTTTAAGTATACTAAAAAAACAATTTAAAGGTTATGAAAATACAAGTAAATAGAGAAATTTATAAAAGTATTATAGTTAAATAAAATATCTTATTGGGAACTTCAAAAAAAATTTGCAACAATGAAAATTGAACTCACACATTATGCTAAGGTATTATATATATATATATATTTAGCTAAAAAAAAAATTTTTAAGATATATTTTTTTTTGTACCTTATAATAATGATTATTTAACTTATTAAGATTAAATTTTTTAGTTTATTTAAAAAATAGAAAAAAAAAAAAAAAAAAATAATAAATAAAACTTAGGTGTGAATTTATATTAAAAAAGACAGATGAATGAAATAACAGAGATATTATTAAATGAAAAAAGTAGTATATTTATAGATAAACATTTTTATTGTAAGAAAAAAAAAAAAAAAAAAAAAACATCTCTTTTGTTATATATATGTGATTAATTTTTGATAAAAGCTTGTGAAAAAAAAAAAAAACAGCCTTTTATATTTTCCTTTTTGATGTGAAATTTTACAAAATAAAAAATATTTTATTTATTTTACTTTTTTGAAATAAGGAATATTAAAATTTTGAAAAAAAGGAAAATAAATTAAGGAAGTGTGCTCAAGCCATATATGAATTAAGGTTTTTGTAAAATGTATATCTTTTACATAAATATTAATCATATATCTCTAATTTCATTTATAAAAAAATGCATATATTCTATTATATTTTAATTTTTTATTATCTCTATTATTATTATTATTATTATATATATGTTTTAATAATATAGTATTTTATTGATAATTTTATTAGAAATTTTAAAAGTTTTATATTACTGGTGGTTTATAATTTCCTATATTCAATTAAATAATTTAACACAAACAGATATTTGTTGTATATATGAAACCTTTTAAATTTGTGAAAAGCAAAAATATATTAAATCTAAGTTTTGTTGTATTTATAGATTACTGTTTTTTATAAGATATTTATTTTTTAATTTAAATTTGTCTAAAACTTATTCAACACTAAGAATACATTGCAATTATCAACTGAATATATATTATATATGCTTTCATTTTAATTCATAATTATAAGTGAAAATAGTATATATAAAAAAGAAAAACATGTAAATTAACCTCATAATATATTAATATGAAAAATGTTATTAAAGTGTCAACTAGTGATATAGAAATCGTGAATATTATAAATAAATAAAAAAGAATGTTAGATAACCAAAATTCTAATAGCCTTTATAGCATCCATCTTTATATTTTTTTCATTTATTACTCTTAACACTACATTTATAATTGTCCTATTATACATGTTTTAATAAAAAACATTTCTTATATTTTGATTAAAAATATATTACCTATATAATAATAAATTATCTTTTCTAAAAGAAATATTTATTTAATAATGAGAATCTTAAATTTATCAACTTTTTAAATCTAATACTACATCAGCAAATTAAAATAAATTAGAATAATTACAAATAGCTTATATGTTAAATTTTCTTTAAACGTTATTCAAGATAAGAAAAAAACGTAAATATAATTCATTTTTTTTTTTTTTTTTTTTCTGTTTTTTTTGGTTCCTTCATGAACTTAAAATTTTTATTTCTATTATTTTTAATACTAATTTTTAGAAGAAAATACTTGTTATCAAAGTTTATTTATTTACAGAATATTCATAAATTTAATAAAATAAGATAATTTAATTCATATTTTATGGAAGATATTTATATGTTTTATCACAGAGGAATGGTAATAATTTTTTTATGTTTCCAAATGGTAAAAGGGTTATAGTTAAAATTATAAATCAAAAGTTATTTTAAAAAATAAAAATAAACAGAAACAAATGTAGTTCATTGAAAAGATAAAATGTTTTTAAAATCATTCAAAATAACAATAATAATATATTTTTAATTGAAAGAAAAAATCAGTATTGTAAGAAATATAATGAAAAAAATTACAATTAAATGGAGTTCAAAAAAAAAAAAAAAAAAAATAAATGATACTACATTATTTTGACATTATAAATAAAAATATTAATAAATATTATTCAAAAGGAAAATAATATAAAGTAGTCAAAACATATAAAAGGCAATTGTAATTGCTCTAAAGAAGTTATAAAAATATTTATATCTAATTTAGTATAAATATTCAATATAAATAAAAAAAAAAAAAAAAAAAAAAACATAATAAGAAAATAAATTAAAATATATTTACGTTTTATTTAACTTTTTTAAGACTTCATTATTAGTACTGTTTTCTTTTCTAACCTTTTCCATTTCTTTCATAGATAGTAAGTTGGTATGACAAGATGTACATATAGTTTTCAATCCTATAAATATTTATTATTAAATTTTATAATTATTATAAATTATATTATTATAAAAAAATGACATTATTCATTTTATCTTTATTTTTATTTTCTTTATATTTGTTTAATATTCACCTTCTGATGTATCCCAGTGAACTTTAACGTTTGTCTGTTTTACTTTATCACATCTCCAACACCTATGAAAAATATTAAAAAGGATAATAACTTTAAAAGAAAAAAAAAAAAAAATTTACATTTTTTTATTTCTTTACATAAATGCTTTTAAAACATTATATTTGTGAACAATAACATTTTTTGTATCAAATTTATTATCTAAATGTTTTTTTGGTAATGGCTCAAACTTTTTTAAAAGTTTAACAGCTTTATTTCTTTCTTTACTTATATTAGATGATAATATACGTATTAAATCACTTTTCTTAAAATCTTTATGTTTTACCATGTTTTAATTAAAAAAAAAAAAAAAAAAAAAAAAAAAAAAAGATAATAACAATAAAACAGTAAAAAAGTAATATTAAAAAAAATAATAAAAATAAAAAAAAAAAAAATTAAAAAATAAAATAAAATAATTTCTAAATTACAAATAATTAAAAAAAAGTAAGAGATAAAAAAAGAAAATTATTTTTTATATATAATGTATATACATATATATATATATATATGTATATATATAATATATTTTAATAATATTTCCTTAAATGTTAATTTAGAGAAAAATTATAAGATTATCATTTTAGAATAATTTTAAATTCAAATATTATAAATATCTAAAAAAAAAAAAAAAAAAATAAAATAAAATAAAATAAATTAAATTACTCTATATAAAAAAAAAAAAAATGAATTAAAATCTTTAATCAATTAAATATATATAACTGATTTAAGATTTTTTATTATTTTATTTTTTTTATATTTATTTGATATCATTTTATTTAAGTTGTAAAAATAAAACTACATTTTTAGAATTAAATGTATGCTTTTTTTATATATTATTAAATTTTATAATAATATTTAAAGGATTCCGTTTATACATAAAAAGAAAAAAGAAGAAGAAAAAAAAAGAAGAAATAAGTAGAAAAAAAAAGAAAAAATAAGAAAAAAAAAAAGAAATAAAAAATGTATGAAATAAGAGATAAAACTGGTAAAATAGTTCAAAGAGAAAATATAAATGAAATAAAGATCATTTTTACTGATTTAGATGGAACTCTATTAAATAGTGAACATAAAGTTTCTGATTTAAATTTGCAAAGTTTAATAAAAGCGAGAGATAAAGGAATTAAAATAGTTATTTCTACAGGTCGTACATTATTATCAGTTGAAAGGATTATAGGAAAAGATCTTAAAAAAAATAATTTAAATCTTTTACCAGGAATATATTTAAATGGATCTGTTACTTTTGATTCTAGTGGATCTTTAATTGTAGACAAAGTTATTGATAATAATTTAAAGATGGAAATAAATGATTTTGTAAGAAATTTAAATATCTCTGAATATTGTGTTTGGTATTCTTCAAACAAAACTTACTGTTTTTCTATGAATGATAAAATTCAATATCATTCCGAAATAGAATGTATCACCCCTGAAATAATAAAAGAACAAGATTTAAAAAATATAAATGTATATAAAGTTTTATTTTGTTTAGATAAAACGAATTTAGAAAGCGTTTTAAAATTAAGCAAAGATAAATTTATAAAAAAAATAAATGTAACAAATACATTTGAATGTTTCATTGAACTATTTCATCAAGATATAAATAAATTAGAAGGAATAAAAGAAATATGTAATTTGTATAATATAAGTTTAAATAATGCATTAGCAATTGGAGATGGTGAAAATGATATGGAAATGTTAAATGGCTTGCCTCACTCAGTAGCTGTGAGTAATGCTTCTGATAAGGTTAAAAAATGTGCTAAATACATTGGACCATCAAATAATGAAAATGCAGTAGCTCACGTTTTACAAACTTTTTGTGATATTTAAAAAAAAAAAAAAAAAAAAAAAAAAAAAACTAATTATAAATTTTAATGAATTAATTTAATATATATATTAAGATATGAAATTAATTAAAAAATTTTTAGTTCAAATTTTATTCTCCTATAATAAAGTAAAAAAGTTATATAATTTGATTTTGATTTTTATGACCGTTTAATAATATATTATATAATTATATTTCATTCTAATTCATATAATTTTACAAAAAAAAAAAAAAAAAAAATATTAAAGATTTCATTATTATTCGATTGCAATTACTCTTTTTGTGAAACAATTTTTTAAATAATTAAATAGTAAGTAATTATTCTGTCAAAATAAAAAAAAAAAACATTTTATAATTGTGTGAAAAAAAATTAAACACAGATTTAATATTTTTTTTTTTTTATGTATAGAATGAAAACAAAAATATGTATTTATTAAAAATTTTTTTTTTTTTTTTTTTTTTTTTTTTTTCTGATTCTCTAAATAAAAATTTCTATCTTATTTTTTATTTAAAATAAATTATTAAATAATTATGTTTTGTATTTTTTTATTTAAAAATGCGTAAAAATGTACATATTATTATAAAATACACGTTTCTTATTCTTACTCTGGTTTTTATATAAATTTTATATTTTTTAAATTTCTTTTTTTTCTTTAAATCTTTTTTATGTAATTTAAGTTAGCTCTAAGTATTTCATAAAATTAAAGATTTTTGATAGTTCTTAAAATTAAAAAAAAAGAAAATTATAAATTGATAAAGAACTAAATAGAATGAAAAACTTTAAAAATAAAAATCTTATAAAAATTTCAAATAAATATCTTATTTTTTTTTACAATATTATAAGGATATGATTTTAAAAACACAACAAATCTTTCTCTCAAAAAGTAGATTAAATTATATAGATTAAAAAAAAAAAAAAAAAAAAAAAATTTTAACTTGGAAAAGATATAAATAATTTTAACTAACAAACTAAAAAGAAAATATTGACTTAAAATTAGAAAGATAATATCATGAGAGGATACTATAATAACTAACAAATGAAATAATTCATAAATTATTATGGTAATTTATTCCATGTGATTAAAAAGGAAAAATATGTTAAATTAAAATAAATACTTCAAATAAATATAAGGAGAAAAAAAGAAAAGTTAAAAAAAATAAAAATTATAAGTAAAACAAGAGAAAATAAATTAAAAGAGAGAAATTGAAAAAAAAAAAAAAAAGTTAAATGAAATAAAATGAATGAAGATGTTGTAGGAGATGATGAATATCTAGATGAATTTTCTGTTGATGATAATTCAAATGAATTTTTAAGTGAAAATGGAAACAACAAAAATGATTCAAAAGAAGAAGATGAAAAAAAAAATAAGGAGACATATGATAATAAAAATATAACTTATGATAATGAATATAATGAAATGTTAGTAGAAAATAAAATTTTTGATATAAAAGAAGAAGTTTTAAATATACATAAAAAGAATATTTGTGGCATAAAGTTAATAAAAAATGGTAATACTTTAATAATTTCAGGAAATGATAATATTGTAAGAATTTATGATTTTAAGAATATGAATAAATATGAAAAAAACTACACTAATTTTATAAGTTTATCTGAAGGTTCTATTACACAATCTCTTGATGGAAAAAATAATTTCATTTTAATTGGAAATGGTAATAAATGTTATGTATATAATAAGAATGGTCAGTTAATAAAAAATACCATTAGAGGAGATATGTATATTAAGGATGCTAATAACACAAAAGGACACACAAGACAAATTAATTGCTGTAAGTTTCATCCATTTGATGAAAATATTTTTATAAGTGGAAGTTTAGATAGCACTTTGAGAATATGGAATTTAAAAAAAAATATTTGTTACGGTTTAGATAATGAATTGGTTCATTATCAATGTTTAAAAATTGTAAATGAAAAAAATATTATGAATAATAATATTTTATGTTGTGAATTTAATAAAGAAGGAGATACAATTATAGTAGGTTGTGATAATGGGCAAGTAGAAATAAGAAATAAAATATCTAACGACTACACTTTCAGTTATAAATCAAATTATACTATAAAAAAAAATATCGCTCATAAAAATTCTATAATTGATATATTAGCATCAAAAAAAAATAACAATTTCTTTTTTACCAGAAGCTTAGATAACACTATCAAGTATTGGGATATGAGAAATTTAAAAGAATCTCTTAATACAATTGAAGGTGTTGAAACCATTATTAATAAGAGTAATATTTGCTTTTTTGATAGCGAAAAATACATAATTGTAGGAACTCAAGAAAAAAAGATTAAGCAAGATGAAAAAGAAAATTACAAAAATTTTGAAAATCAAACAAATGAATATATAAAAAATAGGTTAGATTTGGATGAAAATAAAATAAATGATTTTGTTAATAAAAAAAAACTTATAGATAACTATGTGAAGATTTATAAAGGTGATGATGATATGAATAAATATTTAAATGAAGTAGCTTCTATAAATAAGATGGAAAAAGATATTCATGGGAAGATGAAAATTTATGACATTAATAACTTCAATTTAGTTTATACAAAAAAATACGAAAATGCAGGTATTATATGTACATATTATGATCAATGTTTAAATCATTTATTTTTAGGAACAACTGAAGGAACATGCTTAATTTATTATGGATCTAATTCTAAGAATGGTGTTTTAGATTATATTAACAAATCTATGAAAAGAAAAGAAGATAATTCTTTTTATATGAATAGTGAAAACATTTATAATATGGATGATCTACCTAAAGAAATACAAATTACTCAATCGGGAAATGTTTTAATTAGAAAAAATCATAACAAAAAAGCCAAAATTAATCCAGATTTAAATATGCTTAATAATAACGCATACGAAAAAAAGAAACATATTGATTCCTATTCAAATTTTATTACAGATGTATACGAAAATAAGAAAGATAAGAAAAATAATAATGAAGGAGATGAAGAAGAAAATATTGTTAATATTCTAAGAAAAAGAGAAATGAATAAAAAAGGAGAGGATTATTTTTTAAAAGCATACAAGTATACTCAGCCGAAAAATATAATTAATTATTCATCTGATGAAGAGCAAGAATATTCAAAATTTTTGAAAAAACAAAAATGCCCACAATGTGGAATAAAAAATTGCGTATGTGGTTATATGAAAAACATAGAAAAATAATTATTAAAAATAAATCTTATATATTAGAATAAAAAAAAAAGATACATACATATATATATATATATTATATATACATATATATTTTATTAAAACATCAAATAAATAGTCAACAAAAAATTTTTTGAAAATTCATTTAAACTTTACAAAAAAAAAAAAAAAAATAAAATAAAATAAAAATAAAATAAAATAAAAAAAAAATAAAATAAAATAAAATAAAAATAAAATAAAATAATAAAATTGAAATAAAATATTACTAAAAAAATTTGATTAATTATAATTTTTTGTTAACTCTTCTACGACGTAACTACAGTTTGTTTACATTCTTCTCTTAATTCTTTATTCGTCTCTAGTAATTCTGAATATAATTTTTGTAAAGATTTATGATAATTTATTTCTTTTTTGTTTTCTTCTTTTTCTTCTTTAATTCTTTCTAAGGCGTATTTCTTTTCTTTTTCATGCAAACAATTTAATGCATCTTTTTCATTTATATAACTTATATACGAATTAAAAAAGGAATCAAATGATTTTTTATAGCTTTTTATTTTTAATTGATATCCCTTTGTATATATGTCATATTTTTTTTCTAATTTTCTATATATATCCATATGTTTTTCAATGAGAACTTTTAATTTTTCACATCTAAATTTATAACTTTCTTTTAAATCTCGTTCGTCCATACTTTCTACAAACACATAAGAATTTTTTGATGGAGAAAAAATAATGTTGTCATTTATTTTTCTCCATGTATCAAAATCATCGAATTCATATTCTACTTTTTTTTTATTAAACATATGATTATTATGAATTTCATTTTTCTCATATATATTGTTTGTGTTATTTTCATTACTTGATAAATTATTAATATCATTTTTCATTTCATCAGTTTTATTGTCATTATTTGAATTATTATCATCATTATTGTGACAGTTATCTTTATTTTCATCTAAATGATTATCCTTTTTTAATTTATCACATCTTTTTTGGTTATAAGAATTGTTTCCATTAAAATTTTCTGATGATAAATTTATAATTTTTACATTACTATTATCTTTTTCTATTTCTGCATTTATATAATCATTAGCTAAATCTATATATGTATTATCGATATCGTTTAATGTAACTTTATTTTGAATTGGAGTTGCATTTTTTATGGGATAATTAAACATGTCATTTTTAATTAATAGAATCATCTCTTTCTGTATTAATTCTTCCACATCTTTAAAAGAATTTTCTGATAAATTAAAAAGATTCATTTTATCTAAAAAATATGGTCTGGGTAAATTCCATTTAATAATTTTATTTTGTTTATTTAATTTTTCTTTCTCATTCTTATATTCCTCCATTTTCTTTTCATTCTCAATATCTTGAGCATCTTTGACTATACTTTCTTCTTCAAATTTATTATCTTTCTCCTCGGTTATTTCTTCTGGAATTTGTAATTCTATAACATTAGTTTCTTTTGGTAAATTAGCTAATGAGGCTTTTATAAGTAATTTGGCTCTATCTATTTTTTCTTCATAATTATCATCAATATATTCACTTATCAATGTATTATTATCAATAAGTGAATTATCATTTTTAAAATTCTTATAAGATATAATGGAATGTGCATATAAGCTCATACTTTTTTTATAACTTTTTATATCATTAATAATTTTATTTTTAATAGCTACTTTTTCTTTTTTATTTATTTCTTCATCATTCAATTTTTTGCTATTTTCTATTTCTTCTTTAACTTGTTTTATATTATCACTGATACTCATCTCATCATTTTTTAAGGTATCTTCTATGGTGTTATTTATATTTTCAGAATCATCATTATTTATAAAATTATTAGCTCCTATAAAAGGAATGTTGATATTCCTTGATATTAAATTTTGAGCAGCTTTTTGTACACTTAAATCTAATTTACTTGAAAAAGCTATTGATTTATTATAAAAGTTTGTTTCAACAGATGAAAATTTGTCTTTATCATTTAATATAAAAGGGGAACTAGTTACACTGGGTAATATATTATTAATGGGAACATTATTTTGATCTTTAATAATTTCATTAAAAGAAGATGCTTCTTTGTTTATTTGAATAATCTCTTCTAATTCATTTTCATTTAATATTGGCTCAGGTAAATTTAATTTAACTCTTTTTCTTAAATAACTTAATTCATTAAATTGTTTATCATAATTTTCAATGGTTGATAATAGATTATCTTCTTCATTATTTCTTTTATGTTTTTTGTCTTTTTTTTCATTATTTATTGATTCATTTATATGTTCAACCTCCATAGATTTTATGCTTTTTTTTTTTTTATTCATTTCATTTTCATTATTTTCAATATTCTGTTCCTTACTTACATCATAAAAACCTTTTATTGGTTTTCTTTCAAATAATATTTCTTTAACATGATCAATTTTATTTTTTTCTTTTTTTTTATAATTCAAAGTAGTAATACCAGCAGCTTTTAATTCTCTTTTTTTCTGAAGTAAAGCTAATCGTCTAGCTTGTTCTAACTGTTTTTCTCTAGCTTTTCTTTTAGCTTTTTTCCCCTTTGTATTTGCAAGTCTTGCTTTAGCTTCTGCTAACATTTCTTTTTCATCTTCATCCATATCGACAGGATCTGCTCGTGGAGGTTTTGTTTCAGGAGCTGGATCTATTTCTCCTGGTCTTAAATGTCTTGGATTTTTATTTTTATCAAATACTTTTCCTTCTGCTTCATCAAGTAAATATTCATAATGTTCTAAACATTGATGAGCTGTTCTTCCAACAATTGGTGCAATAGTTCTCCATTGAGTTGGGAATAATTTTGCTAAATGAAGAAGTTTTTCTTCTTCCTCTTTACTCCATTCCGTTTTTTTAACAGAAGGATCCAACCATTCATACCAACGAGCTTTACATTGTTTTGCTGACTTTCTTACTAACAATGATGCTACACGTGACCAATTATTTAATCCATATTTCATTACAGCTGCTTTTAATACCTCATCTTCACAATTTTTCCAAATTCCTCCTTTGATTTGAATTCTCATTCTTTATTATTCTTTTTTACTTTTTATATTTTTATTTTTTAATTTTTTCCTTTTTTTGTTAAAGGAAATTTTAATACCAAAAAAAAAAAAAAAAAAAAAAAAAAAAAATACTTATGCTTTACAACAAAAATTTTCAATTATTCACTTTTAAAGAATGAAAGCTTTTATTAAAAGTTCTTATAAAGATATCCTGTATTGTGAAATATTTTTTATAACTTTTCAAATTATTTTTTTTTCTACAATACTGTTAAAAGAAATTCATTTTTATTTAAACATTTAAAAATTATTTTTAAATTATTGTTAATAATATAGTATTTAAGCATGATAATATACATAAACATTAATATTTAAAAATAAAAAAAAGAAATACATAAATAAGAAAAAAAACAAATATGAAAAATTTATATAATAAAAAAAAATATATTTTTTTTTTTTTTTTTTTATAAAAAAAATAAATACCTCAGGAATGAAAATTTTTTCATTCTAATTATTATATAAAATTTTTTTTATAATACTTTTTATTTTTTTTTTCTTTTAATTTTATATATATATAAAAAAAAAAAAAAAAAAAGTAAAAAAATAAGATTATTTAATTTCTTAAAAGTAGTAAAAAAAAAAAAAAAAAAAAAAAAAGAAAAAAAAAAAAAAAAAAAAAAAAAAACAAAAAAACAAAAAAACAAAAATATAATATTTAATTATATTTTCTTTATATTTTTGATTTAAAAAGAAAAAAGGAACAAAAAAAATTAAGAAACTTTTCTTTTTAAAAATTTAATTTTAAATATGTATTTTAATGAACAACATTATATATTTTAAAAATTTATATTTCTTTATATATGATTTAATATAAAGAGAAATTGTTTTTTAAATTTATTTAAAAATTAAAAGATTTATAAAAAGAAAAAACTTTTTGATTTCATATTTTTTTATTATTAGTATATTTTAATTTCTTTTAATTATGTTTAAATTATATAATCATTGACATATTTTTTTCCATTTTGAATAGTTTTTCATTATTATAAATACATGTATACTTTTTATATTTTTTAAATAATCTTTTATACATGATGTATATTTATAATATAATCAGAAAAAATAAGGTTAATAAACTTGATATTATTATCTAAAATATAAATTAAATTATGTATTTAAAAAAATACAAATACAAGAACAAAGCATTATATTTAAAAAAAGAGAGAAAAAATTAATTATCATTATATCTATAGATAAAAAAATATGCATAATTCTTTCATCCTTCTTTGCAAATGATGTATGAAGATTTTAATACATTACCTTTAATTAGATCAATTAGAGAAGATGAATTTGATAAAGTTTTGGAATTTTTAGAAAAAAATTATAACGAATATAAAGTTAAAGATGGAATAATAAATAAGAAAACAGAAATAGTGGATAAACAAACACAAGCTACTCCTTTATTTTATGTAACAGCAAGAAAAAGTGATGATGAATCTGTTGAAATTTCAAAGTTACTAATTGAAAAATATGCACTGTGTAATCCAACAACCAAAGATTTAATGAAACAGACATGCTTATTTTATGCAGCTAGAGAAGGGCATATAAATTTATGCAATTATTTAATTGAAAAAGGTTGTAATCCAAATGATTCAGATAATTTTGGTCAAACTTGCTTATTTTATGCTTCAAGAGAAGGTAAGACAGAATGTGTACAAAATTTAATTAAAAAGGGAGCTAATCCTAATCTATTAGATTTTAATAAGCAAACCTGCTTGTTTTATGCATGTAGAGATGGTAGATATGATACTGTCAAATGTTTATTAGAAAATGGAGTTAATCCATCAATTAAGGATTCTCAAAGAAGAACAGCTTTAACTTTTGCTAAAGGAAATGGTCATCAAAATATAATTAATCTTCTTAAAAATGCCAACACATTAAATAGGTCATTTAACGAGTCCCATACACAATCAAATAACCTAAATTCTTTAAAAAGTAATATTTATTAAAAATAATAAAATGTAAATAAAAATTTACTTTTTAATATTTTGCATATTTTAAATATAATATATATTATATATATATTTTTAAAATGTATATTTTAATCAAATATATATATATATATACATTTTATATAAGTTACATTTATCATATGTACATTTATTTGAATTTATATATATATATATAATTTCTTTTTTTTCTTTTTCTTTTTTTTATAATTAAAAGGAAATTCATCATGTTTATATGGTCAAAATTATCAAAATGAAAATAATAATAATATAGCAAATATAATGAGAGATAATAATAATATTAATAATACTAGTAATATAAAAAATGAAAGTACAGATTTAAATGAAGTTACGAATATTAATATGAATCACTCTAATGGAATAATTAATTCATTCTGTTTATCAAATATGTCTTCAAATAAATCCAATTCTTTTTTTTCAGATAAAACATTACGAAAAAAATACAAGTTACAATATAGGCCTTTAGAGGAGGAAGATCCTTTATTATGGTTAGATGCACCTCTAATAAAAATTAAAGAATTTGAGAGAAAATTTCCACAACTAGCTTTATGGCCAAAAAATACATCTGTAACAAATATAGAACTTAATAACACTAATAATGCTTTTAACAAACAATGGTATACTTCAGCAAATCAGTTAATTCAGAGTTTAAGTAAATATGATGGAGGTCATATTTTTGAAAAATTAGTTGATCCAAAAAAACAAAATTGCCCAGATTATTATGATGTAATTAAAAATCCAATGTCTTTTAGCTGTATAAAATCTAAATTAAAAAAGGGTCAATACAAATCTCCAACAGAATTTATTAAAGATGTTCAACTAATATTTGATAATTGTAATTTATATAATACTTCGAATTCTCTTGTTGCTATTACAGGAAAAAATATAGAAACATATTTTAACAATCAACTGATAGTTACAGGATTTAATAGTTTTGTTACGAAGGAAAAACGTATTAATGAACTTTTAAAAAAAGTTGAAGAAGAAAATATTAAATGGAGTGAAGAACAAGAACGAGAACAAAAACAAGAACAAAAACAAGAACAAGAAAAGGAAATGGAAATGGAAATGGAAAAAAATGAAGAAAAAATAAAACTAGAAGAAAAATAATGTAAAGAAAAATAAATAAAAAAAAAAAAAAATAAAAATAAGTAATAATAATTTCTTTTTAAAATATCAATTAACTCTTTGTTTTTTTATTCTTTAATTTCTGAAATAATTTATGTGTATTTTAAAGAGCACTATATATATAATTTGTATTATTATGATATCTTTTTATAAGGAAAATATATATTGTGTTTCAATAAATATTTATTTAAATTAAAATATTGAAATAATTTAAAGAAACATAAAATTATGAAAATTATAATAAATTTGTAAGCGTTGTACTTATTTTATTTTATATACTTATTAAAATAAATTCTAATGAGATTTTTTTTTTTTTTTCTTTATCTTTATCTGTATTTTATAATTTTTGTTTTATAATCATTAAATATATATGTAGCTTTTACTTTTTTTATTAAACATAAGCATAAAAAAATATTTTTATGTGTTTTAGTGGTACATATCTCACATTATAAATTGTAATTTTACATATTAATTAAAAAAAAAGTATACAAAAAAAAAGAAAAAAAATAAAAATGCATTATAATAAGTGATAAGCATTTAATAAATTTTTTTTATTTTACTTGTAAAATTATTTTAAAAAAAATATATATAAGTAATATAAATTTTTTTTATTTTTAAATGACATTTTATGATTTTTATTATATGTATTTTAAGTACTTTATTTTTAATAATAGAATAAAACAATTTTGTTAAATACCGTTATGAAACAGTTATTTAAACTTATTCAAATATTCATATGTATATAATGTAATTTTCTTTTTCTTTTTTTTTCTTTTTTTTTTTTTATTTATTTAATATTTATACATTGTATCAGTTATGTTATTCCATAGAAAACTAAATTAAATAAATTTTTTTTTATTAAATAACTTTGTTGGTTAAAAAAAAAAAATTTTCAATAAATGAATATCATTCAAGTAGGTATAACTTCATTTAAAACATATTATTATAACATCATTTCATTAATCTATAATTATTATTATTATAACACCATTTCATTAAGTTATTATTATTATAACATCATTTCATTAAGCTATTATTATTATTATTATTATGATAATATATAGAAAAGTATATTTATTTATATGAAATTTTATAGTGTTAAGAGTAAAAATGTTTGAAGTGTAAA